CTGCGTGTCGCGGCTGAGTTGTGGCCAAACCGAAGCCGGCCCTTATAATGTGGGTCACCTTGGAGCTGCCGAAGGTGCAGCCGCCTGCCTCGTTACCTGCGTAGCTGCTACTCGGGCTGCTGGCTGCACCGGCACAGCAAGCCCCCCTCGGGGGTCTTCCCAGTACAGGATCTCGCTGTTCCCGTCGAAAGGGGTCGGGGTGGGACTGGATGGGGGTGTCCGTGCAATATAGGTATGTGACACAGCGAAAATACCATTTAAAAACATGTGTGCTGTCTATGGGAAGGAAGACCAATCTTGCTCCTACAAACGATGACTCTGATAAATGTTTGTGGCTGGAAATGTAGTAAAAGGATGTATGTCTGTCTACTGCTTTTGTGTTAATACTGGAGCTTGCTGTAACAACTAGGGATTTAAAGAGCCAGCTGTTATGTTACTAGTATCTTTTATTGAGTCAGGGCCTGTTATATTTAATATGGACAAGTGTCTTTCATTCTCAAGTATTCCTCTTGGTTTTTAACTTTTGTGGAGTAAACCTGCTGTTTATCATCTGCTTTGTTCTCAGGCTTGTCTTTTACTTGTTTCTCTCAAAATCCCATAAGCAAGATGTCTACTAATGAGAATGCCAACGTAGCAGCAGCTCGCTTGAACAGATTCAAGAACAAAGGGAAGGACACTACAGTGAGTATATTGATGCAGTTAGTATTTTACCTAGCTATCGTCTCTTTAAATGTGAGTTGTAAAAGCCAAGAACTTATTGTGAATGTATATTCTCCAGGAAATGAGAAGGCGGCGTATTGAAGTCAATGTAGAGCTGAGGAAAGCTAAGAAAGATGACCAGATGCTTAAAAGAAGAAATGTTAGCACTTTACCAGATGATGCTACTTCTCCCCTTCAGGAAAATAGGAGCAACCAGGTGAGTAGTTATACAGAATGGGCACACTTGGAGGTCTTGCAACATAAGCTCATGCAGCCACGCACTAGTACGAATTCCTTCTCATGTGGGACACAGTGCTACTACATATACATTAAATCTATGCTGCCAACTCAAATGGGCAACAGCCTTAAAACATAGCTTAGCCTGTTGTGTTTAAGCTTACTGTATTAGTGTAACAGTTATATGAAGCACTTGATTAAAAAAAGCTTTCAGTTGTTCAGATGACTGTAGACAAAGCTGCAGCTGATGAGGTTTTGGGGTATCACACAGTGGTATAAACTTTTAACAAAGGCAGTGGCTGTAAACTGGGGTCTATTCATAGTATTGTATGAATACACTACCATATGCATTATATGAATGTATCGCATAAAAGGCTGCTGTGGTCATGAAGACACACACTTCTCCCAACAAAGTGTTCATGTAGCTTTTTATTGTACAGGTTTCTGCACACTGGTCAGTTGAAGAAATAGTCAAAGGAGTTAATAGTAATAATATGGAGCTTCAGCT